GAGTAGCATAGATGGGGTGGCGGGGGTCGATTGAAATACGTAAACCAGGTATATAGTAGACTGTTTAGCACATGTTTGGCCAAAGGATGGGCTTCACTTGTCTCTTTGACGGCTGTACTATGGTGGTACGAATGGCGTGACTCACTGACGATGCCGACGAAACGTCTGGGAATGTACTACGTCCACGGTCCGACTTTGGAAATGATCCTGCATGCAATAGACTGTTGACTAGGTGCGTTCCTTTAAGTCTTCCTACCAATATGACCATCTTGCGAAAACAAGGTCAAACAACCTCTATTAGCATGATTTTGCTTAAAGTTGGCAATATTCGCACAAGGAAATTCCGGGCCCATTATTTTTGCACATTGATCATAAAATTTACTTAAATTTGTCCACATTGGTTATTAAATTAAGGTCGGTATCTCCTCCCGGCATTCACCTTGTTGTATATTCGTTAATACACATTTAATTTTTAGTTTCGCATGAGATTCATCAACTTATCTTGGCATCTATTTTGTAATGTTATCATTAACTGAATTGGGAATCTACAACTGGTCTATCGTACATCCTTGTTTTCCCTCCTGCACAGTAAGACAGTTCCATACTCAAAGAAAGCTGGTTCTGAGCCTCCTTGCATGCAGTCCCCTCGTTCTGTTCTCAATTTGAGTCCTAGTGCTACATCCGGCGCGGGAGGCAGCAGCAATTCAACTTCACCAGTATCACCTCGCCTAGGTTTCTCTGCTCCAGGAATTGCGACTCCAGGTATGTTGAGCGAATTAAAAAAGCGCAATATGGCTCGCCAGGCGGCAGAAGGAACAGTAATCCAGGAGGAGGGAGGGAAGAGCAATAACGGCGAGACGGCCGAGACCTCAGAGTCTAATAAACTGCGCCCCAGGCCGAGTAAGGGATTATGCATTTGGTTTATTTGTGTTGAATATTTATATTACTTAAAATATTTTAGAGTAGTATCAGTATTCTATTATTAAATATTTTATGCATTTGCTTAGGTGCATCGGGGCCATTGGCCATCTTCATTGGGCAATGACTGAAACACTTGATTATTTCACAGATTATTGTTATCGTTATAATTTCGCTGATCGCTTCTGCATCAAGTCTACATTATAGAATATCATGTTAACTTTTTAATCTCCAATATATTTTCATCATTTAAGAGGGCCTAATTTGCTTTGTAACTCAATTCTTAACTATTTTATATCTTATATCGGTTAGCGTAATAACATTCTTCCATTACATGTGCTATTAATCACAATAATGCTAGGAAGTGAATGGAGCTGATACCCCAGCCTTTTTGTCGGAATCGAGCCTTGCTTTTTTTTTGCGAGCTGACCAATTTTTCATTCGTGATCCACAAATCTATTAATGATGTTTTGCTCTTAAATT